ATTTCTTAAGCAATTTCACCCGTACCCAAAAATTATAAAAAAAAATAGTGAAATTAAAACACAACAATATATATGTTATAACGAAAGTCGGTTTCTGATTTGGACTTATAATGACTCCTGAATAGATTCTTGACTATTATAGGCAAACATATCTTTTTAAAATTTTTGAGTAATAACAACAAGGCGGCTAATGTCTTATCAAGATGTGTGGGGAAGCTCCAAGAGTTATCCAATTCAATACCCCTGATGTTAGATTGGGGGATATTAAGGAGGAGAGTATGCAGGACGAGGAGCTGAGGATGATCAGGGCAAATTTACTAAGGTATAGGAGTAGCCACCCTGGCTATTCCTTAGAGGGGGAGAGACTGTTGTACCAGGGAATGATTGTAGTGTCACGGACCTCAATCCACATTTCACACCTGCTATAAGAGTTCCATGGGAGCACTGTGAGGGGGTCATTCTAGGGTACATAAGACATATAGGATATTGGCAGTTGAGTTGTATTGGAAGGAAATGCACAAGAATGTGAAGGAAATGGTAGTTAGATGTGAGGTATGTCAGACGGACGTTGTTCAAGCTTCAGGGGACAATGCTGAAGAGGAGCACGACTTACCACCCCCAGACGGATGGGAAAACGAAGGTGGTAAGCAGGAGCCTAGAGACATACTTGAGATGTTTTGTTTCAAAGACACCTCGACTATGGGCCAAGTGACTAGTGTGGGCAGAATACCGGTACAACTCTTTGTATCATTTGGCTTACCAGAAGACTCATTTTAAAGTATTATATGGAAGGGACCCACCTCACTTGGTGCACAATGGACAGAGTAACACACCTGTCTCTTCAATAGAGCGGTATTTGGATGAGAGTGTTAGGGTGTTGGACGAATTGAAAAGGCACTTGTTGAGTGCTCAGCAGATCATAAAGAAGCAGACAAATGAAGAACATCTGGATCGAGATAGGGGATAAGATATACTTGAAGCTTCGTCCCTACAGACAAAGGATGGTAGCTAACATGAGGAATGAAAAGTTGGCCCTGAGATATTTTGGCCCATATGAGATATTGGAGAAGATTGAAGCAGTGTCTTATCGATTAAGGTTACTACCGACCGCTACCATACACCTAATATTCCATGTATCATAGCTAAGGAAAGCTATTGGGGATCATGCATCAAGTTCAGATTTACCTGTGACACTTATAGAGGATTTAGAAGTAGTACTAGACACACTGGAGCTTAAAGGGTATGACAGGAAGGAGGGATCAAGGAAGTGCTAATAGAATGGAAGGATCTACCCAAGTATGATGCCACATGGAAGCCATACGAGAGGATAAAGCATTATGTTTTCCACCATGAGGACAAGATGGGTCTTTGGGAGGGGGTATTGTTAGACCGGTCCAGGAGGGACAGGCCAAATTATATACCAGGCATAAGCCTGGTCCACTCAGGGGAGTTCCACCCACCCTTGGGGCGGGGCCCATTGCTTGATGAAGAGACATGACTATAATATGACATGAACACCAAGAAATAAGAAATGTGAAAAAAAAAAAAAAAACAACAACAACAACAACTATCAAAAGAATTTAAGTAAAAAGATTTGAGAAAAACTCAAATATTTCCTTTGGATTGAAGTGTCCCACTCAAAAATTAGGATATTCATCCCTTAATAAAAATACATCCTAGATCTACTAAATGAAATAGGTATGATATAATGGAAGCCCTCAAAAGTTTTCACCGACTACTAGCACAAACTTAAGGAAATAACAATAGCCTAAAAGTTGATAAAAAGAGAGATCGAAGATTGATCTAGAAGCTTACCTTGCCCACACAAAATCAGACATAGCATGTATCATAGTGTTCTAAGTCAATTTATGCACAATGTTAAGGAAAAACAACAAGAGGCATAAAAAATGCTGCAATGTCTCAAAGACGCATCAAGAAAAGGAATCTTATTCAAAAGAAATAGAAGACTCAACTTAAAAGCATACATGAATATTGATTAAATGAGCGAGATTATTCACAAATAGGTCTACCAGTTTTTTTATTATTATTTAATGGTCTACTACTAAATATGACACAATGGAGAAAAAATGATTCATATAGCTGACCCACGTAGTGGGATAAAGGCTTGATGTACCGTTATTGTTGTTGTGGTCAACTACTAGTTAATAAGGGTTTATTTGAGACAGCTTACTAATTGTTTTGCATTTCAAACCACAAACAAAGTTCCATTTAGCTATTGCATTCTTCCAGCTTTTATTGCTTCTAAAAATTTTTGTGGTGGAAAACTGTTTTTTACAACCACAGTTGTTACTATGTGGTAGAATTTAAGAAAGCAACTCTTCAATTTCTTAAAAAAACATATTTATAACAATCACGACTATTTAAGTTGGTCTCTAACAACAACTTTACAACCACCTTTATAAAATGTTGCAACTATCTCAAATAGACCCTAAATCTAATACTTGAAGAAGCAAAAAGCAATTAGGATTAAAAAGATCTAGCGTTGTAACTAAATTTTAGGCAATAACCCAAAGAATCTATCAAACATTATGGATCAAAATTATCTTAGATGACTCATAAATAAAACAATAAGATACTTTAAAATTATATTGTGGCAACAAATCAGCTATTAAAAAAAGAGGACACATATGTATCCTATATGTCCAAACACAAGCAATTCAATGACATATTAAACACATGGCTATTGAGCTCTACGTTTTAAAATATCACATCAAAGTTTCAAGCTTGAGAAGTGCTGGTAGTTTTAGAGGCAGCTTACAGTCTTCGGGATTGCAAATCTGATGGTCCATCATTGCTGATAGTTGACAATCTATGACCTTTTCAAGTGGCAAGAAACTCTTTTAGATTTTCAAGAAAATAAATATATGTAAGCTATATAATCCATTGTTTTAAAAATCGGATCGAACCGGCCGATTCGACCGGCTCAACTATGAACCGGTTGGCTAGCCTGTCCGGATATTTTTTAAAACCGGCATTGCAATGAACCGGATAAAACCAGTTCGAACCGGCGGTTCAATTGCCAAACCAGCAAACCGATCTGGGTTTTTAAGACCGGCCGGTTCAATTATTATCTAGTTTATATAATTAAATTAATTCAATAAATATAAATTTACAATGACTTATAAATTTGTTATAATAATTAATTTTTAAAAAAACTCCAACTAAGCTTACTCACATGGCATTACCATCCATGTGACTTCTCTACTTAATCAATTTAAAAAAACTATATAAACAAAAAATTATAGAATATATTATTTATGTATGAATTTTATTTATTTGTCCTAAAATTATATTATTTCATAATTATTACATCATTATCTTATCATTTTGATATCATTTAAATATTTTTAATATTTATTACGTCATCCGGTTCAACCATTGTTCAACCCAGTCGTACCATTGAACTTTGAACCTCTCTTTTCAGGTTCTATCTTCAGTCTAATTTTTACAATCTTGATAGAATCTAAATTAATTCTAATGTAATTAATAATTTTCATATGTAGATGTTACCAAGAATAACCAAGAATGCTATTGTTTAAATGCAAAGGCATAACCCTGATAATATATATATGAAATTCAAAATTTATCCTCTTTTCAATAGCATATATAATATACATATGAAACATAAATATAAATATCGGACAAATTCATGTAGGACAATTCATAGTTAGTATTTTCTAATCATCTAATGCAACTATAAAGAAGTCATATATGTAAATTATGTAAGAAACTTAAGGATTCACAAATCATTGAATAATTCAACAACTTGCTTTGTTTAACAGTAAATAATAAATACAGGAATTAAAACCAACATGACAATGTAATGATTAAATAAATCCAAATAAATCAACGAAAAAATTTGAACCATATAAAACCAACGCGCACTTGTAATTCACTCACTACAAATAAATTCTCAACTGGGTTAAATTTAAACAAAATAAAGAGCACTAATAAGTAATAACCAGAAAATGTAGAAGAAATTAGTTCAAGAAATTAATTCACCAAAGTAAGAAAATCCAAGCTATTGTCGGTACAAGGACATGAATTTACTCGGAATAAGGTAATCATATTTATACCAGACTAGAAGAAATCAAACATCCAACTTGTACACATAATTTCGAAAAATAGAACAATAATCAATACGATCAAAACTATGAAATTTCTTTTTCAATTCATCTATTTATAAACTGCTCATCTCCTAAATTAGTGGATACATATTGGCACAAAACCAACCCAATAAAAGTTCAAGTTCGACCCAAAAAGATAAGCTTCAACATCAATCAAAACTAAAAATCACATCACCTTTTATCTGAAACATCATATAGCAAGCTAACATACAAATCCTGATAAGCCTCATAAAAACCATCAAAGAGCAAGCTAGAGTCCAAATCCTATAATCCCTAACTGGATTCCATGAATGTTCGCTACAGGATCGGCAAACTAGCATTGGCGTGACAATACCAACAAGAAAGACACCAGCCCGTAGAAGCAGCAAAACCTACAGCTCCGATCATCAATTCCCTTTATTAATACTAGGAGATTATGAATTTGAATTAAAAACATACACTATAATATTAAATTAAGCTTGCATACACTAATCCTTCCCAATACAATGTTGTGAAGAGCCTCGGGCACAAGGCACATCCTTTTAGACATAAATATAAAAGAGCTGCAGGTACTTATAATTAACCACACACTTCAGTTACACACCAATACACAACATCAACAGATCATCTGCCATGTTCATTGTGAAAATATTCAAAGCTATATACATGCAGCAACTTATAATGTGATCTATAAGGTGTCACGTCTAAAGAATTTCAACTTATATGGGAAAGCATATAGAATCATGCAGAGCAGTTTGGGGATGACACATGCCCGATAGGGACAATAAAATTTTGTAGAACTTAACCAATTTAGAAAGCTACAACTTTGAAAGAAAATCACATCATGGAGAGCGAGAATGAGGTATAACTCACACTGGAAATCTGCCCATCCATCGTCTTCAACAGCGGATGATTTATATCCGTTATCACTTCTTCGTTTCTCCACAGAAAGCAAGTCAAAATAATCAGTAGCAAGTTCAAGTTTTGAAGGTGGAGAGGCAGAGGCAATAATTGTTGTTGCAGAATTTTGGGTCTCATCCAAGTCTATAATTGGCTTTGCTTTCACTTTTGTTTCGGGAACCTGTTTTTGACATGCGTTGTCAAATTATAACTATGCCGATGACATGCACTTCTTTTCCAATTAGAACTTGAAAATTGAGAAAAAAGAGCTTGGAATTGGCTCAATTAAAGTTTTTATTCGTCGAAATTATGAAAATTGAACAGGATAACTACTTAAGATTATCTGTGATTTTTCATTATACAACCAGGGGAAACTTTTGCCACTCCAAATCATTAGTTAACCATACGATTCAAAGAATATTTCACCTTCTTGGTTTCAAAATAACCTCATAAACTAATAAGAAGGCTTTTAAGGAGAGCAATTTAAAATGTCAATTATACTATTTTCTACCATTCCTCAACTGAAGAAAACCCTTTCAAAATAGAGAAATGGATCTTACTAGTGGATTGTGTTGAAATATCACATAAAAAGATTGAGAAAATACCTTTAAATTTTAAAAGTTTTGAAAGGTAAACGAAGCATAAATCAGTTTATGTAGACAGGCTAGTTTAAAATATAGTTTCATTCAAATGAATAATCAAACAGTATTCAAGTGCATTTAAGATTTCAGTAATTAAAACCCCCATGTTCTAGAGAACTCCTACCAGTCCGCCATTTTTTTTTTTTTTAAACAACTTAATTGTGAAAGTAACTAACATTGATAGGGAGATAGTTTTTTTTCTTTAACATTAAGCTCAGTAGCAAATAGGAACTTAGAAGATGGATAATGATGAAACACGAACAGAAAAATGGTGATTCATTGGGGAATAAATAGAGAAACATGAATGGGGAGGGGGTTTAGACTATATATATGTTTTGATCCCTCAAAGCATGATTTGTTGAATTATCAAGGAAACAGGCCAAATCCTTGAAGCATGGAGAAGCAGATGTGAATCCTCAAGAATCTATAACGGTTTAAAATTTCCTAGAGCTCCAATACAAATATTTCATTTATTACCATAGGAGTTGCATGAACCAGACATTATTTATAATGATAGGCTTTAATTTCAAATGATAAAACTAACCTAATCAACTGAGTACCAAAGCACTTTTTAATGGCAAGTAAGGACAAGCTAACATGAAACATGATGCATAAAATATATAAACAGTCAATAACACTATGTTTGACAACCAAGCATAAGCACCTATTAGCCATCAATTGCCCCTCATTGCAAAGAACTTTACTCCGAAGAGTTGAAGTGACCATGACGGAAGAACTAGATATTTGTCGTTTGAGCTAGTGCGATCCAATGCATCAGAAATCCATTGCGAACAAAAAGAGATGGAAAATCCATCCAATAAGGAGTCCATCTCAAGGAAGAGAAATAAAAATAAAATCATGAAAAACAACAAACAATAATTACTTTATTTGCAGTATTACTGAAAGAAGGCTCATTTAAAACATATTTTTGGAATATAGCTATTAGCTCTGGAGCAAAATATCTTCAATCTTGGAGGACTTCATGTACAATGATAGATTTATTTGAATTGGTCCTCTTATTTTGCACTACTTACTGAAAGAAAGTGAACTTTTTTTCTTATTATATTGGAAACGGTTAGATTGGGTCAAGTTTATTTGATTGAATCAAGTTAAGTTTTGTTCAAAACAAAAATAAATTATTTTATATGCGATGAGCATAGTGAATTATTGGTTTTGAATTTGAATAAAGTTAACTTTATGGAGACTAGGTAGGGTTTAGTCAGAGGTTGTTGCGGAATATAAGCTTGGTTAGAACAGAAATATGAAAGGTTTAAATTTGAACGATTGATGCTAGTTGGTCCAAAGTAATCAAAAAGGTTTAAAATAATTAAATAATTAAAACATTTTTGGAAACTACATGCCTACAATACTGCATCCTATAAAATATTTATGTGATGATTTCTAACTTGAATCATTATCACTAGAAAATAAGGAACATGATTTCATCCCTATCAGCTAAAGCATTTGCTGATCAAAATGATATATCAGCAACTTATAGTATTAAACCTGGATACTATCAGCTAAAGCATTTAAGCTGGTTTAGTACAATTAATGAAGAGAATGCAATCAGCATTTCATGTCAAGTCAATCACTTGAGAGAAATGTGATCAATCTAATGAGCTCAAAACTAAAGAAACTTGCTGAAGAGAAGGAGATGAAATTAAATTACCAGGCCTGGTAACTTGGGAATCGCAATTATAACTGGCTTTGAATGCTCTGGCTGCAGGCTCTTCAAGTTGTTGGGAGATTCTGCATTATTAGTGATTTCTTGCCCACCTGTCTCAGTTGAATTCAGCTGAGAGCTCCTCGTCCTTAGTTCTACTTCCCTTGGAGGTGCTTTTGACTTTTCATTTTTTGGCACCCATCTCCTCTCTTCATATCTAGCAATGTTTAACAAATAAAAATCTTGCTATAAATCTGAAGTTGAATAAATTTCAAGAAAATGTAAACAATTTAATACTTTGCACGGATAAAGTTTTCAATTCCAACTCTGTCATAGTTTGGAGGCAGCTCAGCTTCCCAATAACCATTTGCCCTTTGGTTTCCCATTGCTGTTCAATTCAACAAGGTAAAGTGTCAATGCAAAAACAAACTGAACAAAATAACAAAGCCGTAATCTATGAAAAAAAAAAATAAACTGGCAGTAATCGCATACATTGGATAAAAGCAACCTGCTCCGGAAGCCATGTGTCTAAAGTAGCTGATCTTACCTAAAGCAAAACCGGAATCCCATGTCAGATTTATACGCACAAAAAAAAACTCTTAGAAATCCTAACCCAACATAAACTTAATTAAAATATGCGAACAACGTAAAGCTGTAGATTAATGTCCTGAATCATCAAACACTTGAATTAAATTAAGAATATGATTATCTAAAAATGTAGATAAATAGATAATTATATGATGAGATCTTTACCTTTGAGTCTTGAAGTTATGAAAAATGCATAAATATTAATTCCAAAGGTTTTATTACACGAAATGTTATTATTTTAATAGAACATTAAAAGATTAATATTTCATTAAGGATTTTAACATCCAAATTATGATTTAATTTTTGTTGTAATGTTAAATATTCAAAATTCTATATCAAGTTATTTTTTGTAATTGAAATCGAAGTTATAATTCTTTAAAGGATGAAATTTGAATTAAATTAATTACATGTTATATATATAATGAAACTGAATAGCTTAGTTTTAGGGTTTTATGCTAAGATTTACAAATTTTCACTGCAAGAAAATAGCAGTTTTCCTGAAAAAATGTGCTTGTGGCCGGATTTTCCAACAGATTTCAGTCCACCAGTAAAACTCTCACCGGAAATATGCTCCAACACACCGGAAATATGCTCCGACTCACCAGAAAACAGCTGACAAAATCTTTTGGTTGAGGTTCCAGTGAAATAGCTGCCAAAAACCCTCAACCAGACATCATCGAAATCTAATTGGCCACTCTTTGGTGGTTATCTTAGTGTAGTAATTCAATCTTCTGTTACAGCTGGGGTTTCTACTACACTAACCCCTACTCTTATAGTCACCCACCTAGCCACCATCCTAAAATAACACCAAAACCAATCCCCATCCCAAAATTACCCTTTTAGTTCAAATCAGCCTAAGAAATACTTACGTTCTAACTGTACAAAGAAAATTGACAGAAAAAAGAAAAAGCACATCCTGTATGACCTTTGATATGTGTACCCCCAAACTTCTGTGAACTCCAGAGCACTGCATGCAAACGAATATTCCAAGATTCACACTTGCCCATCGTGGCCCTCTGCAAGAAAATAATTCATCGAGAAGATGGAGCAATAGAAAAAAGATGTCAAATAAGAGAAAACTATGTAATACTAAAAGTCAAATTAAGGATTTCTTCAATCATCTTAAAGAGACCATAGATGAAGGAATTTATTTAAAAAACAAGCACAACATTTATAAAAAAATAATAATCACTTCCATAACTCTTAAGTCACTTATTCAAGGACTTGAATCCTAAAAAGAAAATAAAACTCATCCAACAAATAATTTTATTCAAATATTAACTATTTTTATACGCCATAAACCCCTATTTATAATCATAAAACAATGAAAACGTTTCTCTTAATATGTATTAAAGCTGAAATACTCGATCAGAAAGAACCACAAAAAATAGAATCCAAAAGACAATCAAAACTACGGAACGAAGGGATCTCATAGAAGATTGGAGGCGACCACCGAACAAAAACGGCAAATCATAAGCCTGATGAGGTAAGCAAAAAGACCTAAGCTACAAGAAGAAGTTAACAAAAAGGCATATGAGGAGGTCACTAAATAGACAAGAACAGAGTTGATCACATAAAGCCATCAAATATGATAATCCAACGGCAAAAAAGGCAGCAAGAAGACTCAATCAACAAAGAGCTATTTGAAAAGTAAACAAAGGAATCCACTAGAGGAGAATTCATATAAAAAATGCCTAAGGATGTATGCTAATCTTCCAAGAAATCTTGGGTTACCTTATAACGTGCTTAAAGCCCAAGAGCCTACTTTTGGATTCTTCTTCTCCTTCCAACAAAAATATGCTTGGATCAACCAATAGTATAGAAAAGACTTAAAGTAATTCTATAAAGATTTTTTTTTTTTTTACCCTTCTTTACCACAAATCTATAGATCTGACCTATGATGTTTGCCCTTCAACATGCAGATCTTCTCCCTGTCTAATCATTCACTGTCTACGGATTGCTCAAATTATTTCAGGAAGACTTAGCATTTAATATCCATAATTCACAACATTTCAAGAGCATACTCAGAAGCCTCTTTCAAGTTTCTTCGGACTAACATAAACTAGCTCTAACCCTAATGGTTGCTTCTAATTGTAATCAAATTAATTTTCTGCTAAACAAAATACATTAGTGAATTGCATTTAAATTGATAGAATTACATCAAGCCCCTTTAGATCAATAGATTCCATAATCACAACTCGGAGATAGAAATTAGCACAGACATGCTACTCGCCTGTATATATATGGTTGTACGTTTCCTAAAAAGTAAACTAATATTCCAAGTTGAAGGACGTTGAAACAAGGGTGACTTTCATGTTCCGTTTCATCGCATGTATAGTGTAGGAGATCTTTTTGAAAAGACAGACATGATGGCTATAAGCAGCAACAACAATCGATGATTATTTACAAATAGGATTGCCATAGCATCTTTTTTCATCTTCTTAGTAGAATAATGTAGTACAAAACTAAATACAGCTTCCAAAGTTTGAAAAGACAACAAAAAACGAACAGTAGCAAATATACTTACTTAGATTTACAGTCAGCACATTCTTTGTTCTCTGGCAATCTAAGAAGGCCCTCTAGAATCTGAAAATTGATAATTCAAAAGAATCTATCACTATAAGTATGATGAGTACTCCACTTTAAAATAGTCACACACACAAGAACTAAAAAAAAACTGTGATGCGGGAGATAATAAGATATATATTTGAGCACAATATGAAATATATTCAAGCGCTTTATCATTGATGGTATATATCTCATTCATAAAAATATTATGTATCATTTTTTTGAATTTATTTTCCATCTTAACAGATTCTGAAATATTTTTTTTTAATTAAATATAAAATAGTATAAATCTATATGAAGTATTACAACCTATATATATTCTTGAAAGCAAATATCAGAAATTTATGGCAAATTCTTAATATCAAAGGTCAAATAAGACTGGTAGAAAAATTAGAATTTAAAAGACAGTATTGATCTATTTAAATACAATCCATTCTGTTCAAAATAATTTGAAAAAATAAAGCATTATTAGTTTCATTACACCCTGAGTTGCCATTATACTTTTTCTCTATTTAAAAATAATATTCTTTCCTATTTTTAAGATTTAACAATTTTTTAAATTTTTGGATGAGATTTTTTCTCCTTCTTCTAAATCTTTAAATCTTAACATAAGGTAGAATACTACTTCTAAAATAAACCTTCTCATGGCCATCCATTTTTTCATTTGCACTCTCCTCCAATATATATATATATATATATTTGCTTATTTTTGCCCATAGGAGAGATTGGATAAGAAAATTAAAACCCAGGATCATGGCAACAACTTACAAAGGTCTTTACCTACACGCACAATTTCTATGTATATACCACCCTTCAATGTGGCAAAAAGTTTATTCTCAAGACAATTAAATTTTTATGTTAACACCTTCAACTGTAAGACAAAGGTTATTTATATTGATATTGATCTACAACCTAAAAATAATTTGGTGATCTAATTTGATCACCTTTTATGAAGATTTGATCATTAATCAAATTAGAAATATATGGCTTTTAATAGCCCAAACTAAAATACTACTCTTTTTGGATGAAATCCAATAAATTTATTCTAAATGTACTTTTATAAATTCGTACAAAATTTTATTTGATTTGAGTACTGCTACACTATGAAATAATGAATTATTTATCTCACTATCTAGACATCCATTAGGGTGTTATTTTTCCAAGCTAGATGCATAATA